TCCAAGTGCCTAATGAAGTAATTGCTAAGTATCCGTTTGGTAAGTCATTGAAATATTTTCAGTCGTGTCTGTTGTCACAATTTGAATTTGGGACTAAGAATGTGAGTGTATTTGTAGAAGTAGAAGCTTTCTCGAATCAAACCTATCTCAAAACAGATAATATTTGAAATTTTGACCTCACAAAATGTTAAATAAGTCAGCTGAAATAATTCATGGGATTTAGTTTTAAAATTATTATTGAATAAATGTTTTTCGACATAAATAAACACAGTGCCTGGTTTTATTAGGTGTAAACCGACTTTCCTCACTAATTTCGCTCATCCCTTTTCTATTCTCACTTACCGTGATATAATTAGACAGTTAGAAGTATCTGAATCTCTCATACAAAATCTGTTGCACAAAAACAAGTACATAAATATGTACTTAGTTATATATATACAGTTAATCATAGTATGAAGGAGTACTCACAAACGTTTTGATAAAATAATTCCCATATGAAACGTTTTATTTCACTAACATCACTGAACGTGGTCACACTAAATACTGTAGATACTGTGATCATGGTTACTAAAAATATTCAACTAACCACCATAACTGAATTTTAAATTTTACAAAACCATATATTAACTATATGTATGAAATTATTCATTTTGTAGACAAACCTGGAAAACCAGGTGATTTAACTGCTAACGAAGTTGGTGGAGATTTTGTTAATCTTGCATGGACTAGACCTTCCACAGATGGTGGTGGTCGTATACGTGGTTATATTGTAGAAAAACGTGAAGTTGGTGCACAGAACTGGTCGCGTGTCACTCCAAATCCTATACTTACACTCAGTTACAATGTTCCGAATTTGATTGAGGATAAAACCTATGAGTTTCGTGTTATGGCTGTCAATGATGCCGGCGAAAGCGAACCAACTACGATAGATCGACCCGTGTGTGTTAAAGATCCTAAAGGTAGAGAATGTTTAATTTCACAAAGTTTTCTCTTGGAGAGTTTAATATTTTAGTTATGGTTTCTTATTTTAAATATCCCTACATTGTGACTAACCTTAATTTTTGTTTTCATATCCAAATACCGACAGTTTTATTTATTTTTCAAAGATGCATATGAAAGAACAGAATAAATAGTTGGGAGGAACCATTTTTAAATCAGTGGATGGTTGAGAAACGTTGTTATAAATTATTGAGTGTGATTAGTCAATACTTCGCCCTCCAGGTATATCTGGATTGAGTGAATGAATCAACTATAGAATTTGGTAGATATTTAGTCACGGAAGTAATTAATATAGTTTCATTCATTCGTAAAGAGACTGAATCTCCCTAATAAATCATAGTTTTTACTTATATGCTTTAACATAAATCAAAACATCAATCTATGGTATTGAACAAACAAGTGGTAGCCGTTGAGTGTACCTTGATGAGTGGCATAATTTTAGGTTTTTGATAATATAGTCTGCAATAAATTTTACTCCGTTTATGTACAGTTAGGTGGCTTTTGAAAAATTCAATAGTTTTGAAATCACTGTCTGTGAAGTGGAGTACCACTGAAAAATTTGGGTTCGTTGGACAGATTTTTTTCTCTGTACTTTAAATCCTTAGTAATTTAAACCTGAACAGGTTATGAAGTTCCACACTAAAACTTTAATTCTTATAAAGTGTATATTGGCATTTATCAAATGGGTCGCGAATGAATAATCTTGTGCTTTCCACATTCCATTAATTCACTATTTAATTAGACTACCATCTAGAGTGAAGTTCAACTGGAAAGGGATATTAATGAGATCACGAACTGATCTATATTGAGCAACTATTAAGAACCTGAATGTCTAACTTAGATCGGTTCGGAATCTCAATAGAATTCAACTATCTTCAAAGGGATGATTAGACAAGCCTTTTTATTTTAAAGGCTTAAAGTTTTGTTTAGTTGATCATCACTCGGCATCAGAAAATTTCACATTAAATTATCATAAAATATTTTTAAAATTTAGCTCTTAGTTAAATCTGTAGTGAGTTTCATGTTTTGAAATGGTTTAATTGTATTTACTTTCTAATTTTTCTTACTTATAAAGCTGTTTCACGACCGACGTTCATCAGTGGTCTTAAACCACAGATTGTAAATGAAGGTAGAGATGCTGTATTTGAAATTGAAGTCGACTGTTCATCGAATTACGATGTAGTATGGTCAAAAGGTCCTCGAGATCTTGTTGAGTCCCATCGTATTGAAATGACTAAAGAAGGACGCTTCCATTATTTAACGGTTCGTAACTGTGGCCTTGAAGATGCTGATGAGTATAGTATCAAAGTTTCAAATCGAGGTGGTTCCAAAGTCAGCCGAGCACCACTGTCTGTCAAATGTAAGTGTAATGTTCTACTTTAAAATAGACAAGGATTTCATTCAAGTTTCATATAATTTCTATAAAATGGCAGTAATGTATTAGTTTAAATGTACAACAAATTGCTTTATGACTTTTTCGTAGAATTCAGTTTTATCAGGAATATTGATGTCATTAGTTATAAAACCAACAATTATTATTTCCACGGCTAGTCACTATAGAAGTATATGTGGTACATAAAACGAATGATTTGCGAAATTTGTACTGACAGTAATTTTAAACAACTACTGAAAACTTGTAATGTTAATCAATAGTCTAGAAGTCTATTCATATTCTAAAATAAAAGGTTTTTTTCATATCCATTTATCATAATACCTACTTTATAGCTATTGCATGGTTATGGCAACATAATGTTACAGTTACTTGTGATGAAACAGTAAGTATTAACATTAACAGTTGTTATAACTTTATGATATCAAAAAAGTTCCATAACTGATTGTTCAAAATGGCGTCATGCAAAGATAACGTAGAATAAAAAATTGTCCTACATGAACGTTTTAAATATAGTTGTCTGTTATTATTTTGACATTTTATCTTACACAAAGTTTTAATTAAATCTAGTATAATTTAAGAAAGATTAATTCGTGAATTGGTTGAAGTTAGGCATTAACACCGTTGGATGGCGGCCAGCTCATCGGTCTATATGTTAAGCGTTTGCGCGCGTGACCGATAGGTCCCGGGTTCCAATCTCGCGATGCGAGATCGTGGATGTACACTGCTGAGGTATCCTATAATAGGACAAAACGTTCGTCCAGTTCTTCCAGGTTTCATTGAAGTGATAATTTGCACTTTATAGTTATTGTCTTAATATAAGTAGTATTATAAATTTGTAAATAACTAACGTAAATGAAGAAAGATGTAAATTTTTAAAGTGAAGTTTAAATGTCAAGAAGTTAATTTTAATTACATAACTTCAAGTTAAACGTTAATGGAAATGACTTTTTTTTTCTTGCTGGTTGAAGATTAATTTTAGTTATGTAGAATCTGGCTTTAACTAATTTCAATATTATAATATTCTGCTTGTCTTAAAAAATGTTCAAATTGACGATAACTCACAAACTCAATGAGAACACAGTTTACACTAGTATTATTGCGTTATTTAGCCAAACAGTTAATGCAGTCAATAATAGCGGTCTGCATGAATATATGAGCTACTTGCTCCTACCAACTAGATACTTCAACAAGTTTTCTGTTTTCTTGTTTGTTTTAACACTTCATTATGCCTATTAGTCTCATAATCTATTTAGGTGCGCTTATAAAAAGTATATGACCTTTCGTTGTAAAAGTCACAAAGAAGTACAATTTTAAACATCGTAGTGGCTGGTGAAAAGAATGCATATTATTCAGATGTCAATTACTGAACTACAAACATTTAACTGTTGATCACTCAATATTTATCGTCTGGATGGATCCAGAAATAAGAAAAGGAAACTTGTTGAAATATTTTGTGTTGAGAATTCTATGTTGTACCAAGAATATAATATTGAACAAAGCTATTAAGAATAATAAAAATAAAACCAACAGAATCATTCCGATATACATCAAATATATGCGTACACGAGTTCAAAGTTAATCATGTGAATATATATGAAGGTTGACGATGGAACTTATAAAATGCCACATGTTTATCGACTATCATATTCATTATGGACATACAAAAAATTAAAGAGGTCTTATATGATTATTGTGTTTCTTGACCAGATTTTTGATAACCTAATTTTACGTATGATGAAAAAAATGTACAATTTTCAGTATTATAGATACTTGACCACCAACTTATTTGTAAATGAACTAAATAGTAGACATTATGTTTCACCATGTGGTAATAATATTTCATGTTTAGGATATTTTGGTCAACTAATGTGTTGTGTTTGAAATGCATATTTTGTTAAGAAAACTTGTTATTGTTATATTCGTACTGTTTATTCATCAGCTAAACCTCAAATACATTTACCAAGCCGTTGGCAAGAGCCTACAGAATGGGAACGTGGTGATTCTATTGTAATCAAAGTACCATATACAGGATTCCCTAAACCGAAAGCTAAATGGACATTAAATGGTAAGGATATAAGGGAAGGGAAAAATGTCAATACTCTGCTGAAAGATCGTCACGCTATAATCACCTTGGAGAATGTAGGCGAAGAATTCTCGGGCAAATTAAATATAACATTAGAAAATGAAATGGGATCAGATTCAGCAAATATTGAATTACGAATAAACGATAGACCACCACCACCAATCAATTTAAAAGTAGAAGGTGTAGCTGATGGATCAGCACTTTTATCTTGGAGTATGCCTGAAGGGACTGGGTATATTTCTCAGTATATCATTGAACGATGTGAAATGCCTGGTGATAATTGGATTAGAGCAGGTACTAATCGGTAAGTAAACTAAGGGCATTAGGACTCATGGATCATACAATTTCAATATCATCTATTATACAATATTGAGACATTAATTAATGAATCTTTATAAACTTGTATATAAAATAATGAAATACCATAATATGCTGTCAACTTGCAATAATTCATAGAAAAGCGAGCAGTTCAATTGATTATATATTAAGGATGAATTATGAAGGCAGTTAATTAGATTTATGCATATAATTGCACAAGATTTAATTATTTTAATTATAACGAATTTCATCCCATCTTTAAAAGCATTTAATAACTGAAGGATATAATAATTGATCGTCTACAGGAATATATCCAATTTCTAATTACTTTTCTTTACGGACAAATATCCTCTTCAAGGCTATCAAAAATCAGAAAGAACTAAATTGTTATTCCATCCTAGTTACGAACTTCTCAGACGACTGTGATCTACATACTTTAACTGCGGGATTGAAAATATGGACTTTATTTATGCGAATTACTGATTTAAAGACATTTTCGTTTTCTGAAATACATAATGTCCTTGTGTTCAGTACAGTATAAGATAGTGGTGGAACTTTGTTGAGATAAGCAAAGTAACTATAGTTTATTGTCACCTGCAAATATAACCACAAAAAATTTACAACTTTTGTAATTAATCCAATCCATAATTTTTTTTCTAAAAAACCAAATCTACTATCTTAACCTTACACTTATTATTTACTATTATTAGTTTCTCAACGTATAATTGTGAAGGACTTGTCAATGGTAAAGAATATCGATTTCGTGTAATTGCAGAAAATCTGCATGGTCGAAGTGATCCATGTCAACCTACTGAAAGTCACTTAATTGCTGCAGATACTCGTCAGCGTGGTGCTCGTCGAGGACGCGAAGAAGGTCGTAGTGATTATACTGGACCTCCAATTGAAAACTATGATAGATTTCGTAAGTTTTATTCTAAGTAATGACAAACCACTGACTGTACATGAACCAATAGTGAGATTTATTTTTTTAGAGTTAGCAATTAAATATTAAACAAACAACATTTTTATAATCATATGATTGTCATTTTCGAACAAAGGAATTTGATAATTTTTTAATGTATCCAACACGACCATGCTTGTTAATTAGTCATTTAAAAGCAAATAATTTCATTATATACTTCAGAAAACAAGCTTTTAAGTAGCTATAGAAAATGATTAACTTGGTATCATGATTTCTAATATGTGTGATGGTGCATTTTTAATACGCTTTCGGTAATCCTTATTATTTATTTGGGGTGATTTTGTAGAAATACGGTTCACCTAAAACCTGTTTCACAATAGATTGACATGAATTCAAAGACTGAAGAAAATAATGGGCTGTTAAAACCCTGATGTTTACAGATTTAAAAAGCGATGTTGACATACAATTTTTTCTACTTGTACTGAGCACAGAGATAAAAATGATTATATCCAGTAATGTTATTCATTTCTATTCGGTTTTATCCTTCATATTTGATTGAACCCCAGCTGGAAATGAATATTCTTTAGTTCTTTCATCCATTCAAAGATTTCTCTCTTTCGTATTTAATCAAAAAGCTACGTTAAAACAAAATACCACATCAAGTAATTCAGAATTCTTAAAGCGAACCAAGCTGTATGACAGATGGTTGTTTAATTAAACTGAATAATTTTTGTTTTATTGTTGACATTTTGAAGTGCGATCCAGTAAATCCTATCCTTTGAATTAATATCTTGAATTATTGCAGATCGAAATATTTGGGACAAGCAAATACCACTGCCAACTCAAGTTCATAAAGGTGAAAGTGTCTATGATTATTATGACATCATGGAAGAACTTGGGATGTAAGTTATCTAACAATAAGCAAATGGTTTCGTTAAGATATTTCGAATTATTACTCTAAATAAACATTCCAATTAAGTGAAGTGTTTTAAAATAATTTATTTTCATGTTTCAAAACGATGACTGAATATAAAGTTAGACATTAGGTAAGAATTAGTTATGGCCATTGCGCTAACATACACTGCTAGACAAAATAGGTTTCCCAACTGTCTTGGTTTGATAATTCTCTTAAATGTTAAACTACCACTACTACATGTGATAACCAATCCTATCCTATTGTTAGTTACTAAGTGAATTATTTCTTTTGAGTTCCTTATCCTGGACCTGGATTTAAAAAAGCACTCGAAATACTACCAAAAATCCTTTTTCCAACTTTGTTATTCACAGTCTTATTGAAATTCTACCTTTGATCTCAATATTTCTAATTTACGTAGCCAGTTTTGGTATTGCCTTCTGCCTAAACCACCGAAATTATTATTCTGTTCAGTTATTTGGTCCATTGTTTACGGCGCACCGTCAAGTCACTCTACCATTGTAATTCTGATCTTCAATACCCACTATATATACATATATATCGCTTAGAAATCTATTAGGTCGTTAGCGGCAGTTGGAAGAATCTAGACCTAAAGTTCTGTGTTATTTAACGGTTTTCGGTAAGGTGTATCTGTTATTTTGGAAGAACCGATGCTGCCAAGGGGATTAGAGACCATATCACTCAGCTTCACACTCTGAAACGTTACCACTGAGCTTTTAGGGACTCAAATGACCTCCTGTAGAACCGATTTATTCACAGATGAGCGTTCATTTATTAGCGAACAATTTATTGTTTGTCTAGTTCTTTAGTGCTGACCGAACTCTATCGACTGAATTTCAAGATAAATCTTACAAATGTAGACTACAGAAAAATACTATAAACAACTGATCAATAAAAGCTCTTTAAAAATTGTACCCAGCTTAATACAAGGTAGTTACGCAAGTTGTGAAATCTTATACTTCCTCTCTCTTTTTTTAATAATTTAGTGGAACATTTGGTGCCGTTCATCGATGTCAAGAGAAGACTACGGGTAATTCGTATGCGTGTAAATTTGTGAACACTGATACACCACAAGATAAACATGTTGTTTTAAATGAAGTGGACGTGATGAAAGAATTGCATCATCCGAAATTACTCAACCTTCACGAAGTATTCGATGATAAGAATGATGTAGCGATGGTTATGGAGCTGTAAGTCTTTTTCTTTGAATAAACATGAACGTAAGAATGGTGTGTCGTTATAACACTTGTTGCATATTTAAATGTTGGACAGTCATAGTTAAATTGAATCTATATTGTCGGTTTATAGCTTATAATCGATCTAACATTACTAAATAATTTGATAACCGTGTCAAAAAAGACTCACAAATTCATAAGTCTTAATAAGCTAAACTGTCTTGACTACTTAAATTTTAATCATACATAGAATTTTAGTGGTTTGGCTTTTGACAGTTTTCTAGTACTTTGGGATGTTTTATGCGGAAACTGACTAAATTTATTCAGTTACTGATTAGTTCTTTATTTCCTAATCATAAGATCTAAACTAGATTTAGGATAGACATTAAAATCACTGCAGGGATCTCACTGGTAAATAATTCTGGATTATAATGACAGTTTAAGACGGATTTTAGGAATTACCTGTAAGGAACTGTGATCTATATAATCCAATAATATTTAGAGTGAGACACGTATCCCTAATAATACTTTGTGATAGTTCTGTTATTTCTAATGAAATAAAAATTCGAGTCAATAAATTTCAACTCATTGGTCTATAGGTTTAATACGGAGTCGCCAATACACATCACTGAGTAGTCTGAGCCCAGGATGAGACTTTTCAGTTCTCGCTGATTCTCACTATATTTCCAATTGATGTGTTTTTCATAAAAGCAATATCCAAATATTCACAAAGTTCTCATAGAAATTAGATCTATTTTGAATTATTCAAGTGTTTTAAAATATCAGAATACGAGTCATAGTTGATGCGAATGCAGCTGCACTTCAATTACTTAGTAACATGCTAAGTATCCATGAAGTAACATCAAGAATATTGATAAGCCATCCTCATTCGTTCCGTTCGTTTGGCTATCAAGGCTTTAATAAGGTATTTATCTCAAGTTGAAAATCATAATCTATACGTTACATGACATCATATTCGTGAATTTATTACTGAAGCTCAGAACATCGTTTGGCTATGTATACTCGTGGTTCATGCAGTAATAATGTATTATGATTAGTTATTGAGAATATTCTTTCTAACAGATTAATAACGAGTACTTAAGGAGCTGGAACTCTGTGTTTTGTATTCTCTAACTTCTTAGAATTTATTTACGATACTTTAAGTAAAAAGATTTATCTACATTAATTATTGTTTAATTAACAATAATTTAGACTTACTGGCAGTGAACTACTTGACCGATTAGCAGATGAAAATTCTACAATGTCTGAAGCTGATGCTATTAATTATATTCGACAAGTATGCGAAGGTATACAACATATGCATGATACAAACATCATACATCTGGACATAAAGGTAAGGTATCTGTTGAAAATTGAAAGTGAAACTTCTTTTATCAACATTTACATAACACCTGTAAATTGCTCACTTATTTATATGATTGTTGCTACTTACAGAAAAAGGCGGCCTGCTTGAGCATCTGGGCTACCTGTTCCTGCCATCTAGATATTTCAACAAGTTATCTATTTTTGTTTGTTTTAATATATCGTTATGTCTATTAATCGCATAACCTATTCTGCTGCGTTTCTGAAAAGTGTACAACCTTTCGTTGTCAAAGTTACAAAAAAACTCAATAAGCGACAATGTGGTTGCTGGCAATATACAACGAAAAGAATGCACATTATTCAGATGTTCATTCAGTGAACTGCTAACATCTAACTGGCGATCACTCAATATTTATCGCCACGACCGACCAAGAAGAATGAAATGGAAACTTGTTGAAATACTTTACGCTGAGAATTCTATATTGTACCAAAAATATAATATTGAATAAAGCTGATAATAATAATAATAAATGTTATCAGAACTTTCTGATCAGTCTCAACTAGTGTTCTTGTAAATGCATATGTTTTGAAGTAAAATGCAAATAAAATTCTGAAGTCATAATCAGTGATAAGGTATATTGAACATAAAAATTAGAAGACTCAATGAGCAATCATTTCTAACTCATCATTTATGTATTTGTATACATTATCCACTTGTATATAAAACTTGGAGTGTATGGTAATAAATGATGAATTTATTTTATTCCTATATCATAAAATAATAATTTCTAGTATAGGGGTTGTGGGGATTATTAAATTTTTGATTGAGATCATGAACCGATTGATGTTAGACCATCACAATTGAAAACCTGGAAGCACTGGACGGCCGTTTCGTTCTATCGTGGGACTCCTCAGCAGTGCACATCCCGCTCGCGGGATCGTGGATGTGCACTGCTGAGGAGTCCCACGATAGAACGAAACGGCCGTCCAGTGCTTCCAGGTTTTCAATTGTGATGGTCTAACATCAATCGGTTCATGATCTCAATCAAAATAATAATAATTTGTTTAATTTTTTAAATTTGTTTTTATCTTCTGATTACAGCCGGAAGATTTAATGTTTGAAACATCGAAATCAAAAAATCTAAAAATTGTAGATTTCAGTTTATCAAGGAAATTAGATCCTAAAACACCAGTTAAAGTTAGTTTATCACATCCAGAATTTGCTGCACCAGAAATTACACGATCTGAACCAGTTGGATTTTATACAGATATGTGGGCAATTGGAGTTTTGACTTATATGATGTAAGTGATTTATTTCATTTCTAAATTTTAGATAAAACTTATCTTAGATGTTCGGTGGTTAAAGGGAATTGGGGAGCATATTAAATCCATAATCTTCATAAATTTGGTCCTATTCTTGAAATGAGAACTTGAATCACTCAGTGTTTTAATCAAAGCGAACTGAACAACAAATAACTTCGTGGAGGATATATATATATATATATATATATATATACGAAAGGACTTTGTCTTTTACTTTTAGTATAGACACGAGTTATGAGATAATACACTCCATCTTATAAATCAGCATAAATAAATAATTTTTAAGCCAAATAACCGGTATTCTTTTAGCGGCCCGTGGATCTGACTCCATTTAGATCGTATAAATGTTCGTTATCACCTATCCTCGTATACAATCATCGACTTAAATCACGTTAGTCAACAACGGAATTTTAGATAAGTCAATTAACGAGAATGGCCTTTGAATGCATGTATTTGTGTGTAAAGTGAATGTAATGGAACAAAGAAAAATGCCGCGTAGTGGAGATGGCTGGTAAGCCAACTCATTTTTAGTCAGGCGTTACTCAATGTTTATAGGCAGACAAAGTAAACTACAGACATGTGATGAGACATGGGATATAAAGTGTACACACATATACGCTCATATAAAACCAGTCAAGACTAATAAGCGAATAATTAACAAGGTCAAAATATGACTCAAGTAGAATGAATAGATTGGGTTGTCCGAAAGCTAGAATAAAGTATGTTGGCTTAACATAATAACTGACACTACATTTTTCTACTAAGATGACATATGTCTAGGATGTTATTGGAATAAGATTTACATAAATAGCATATTAACAATCTTATGTAATTGTTACTATAGTTTTTTTCGGTGCGTTATTGAACACATTTTAAAACTTGTTTCTTTACTAATTACTATCAGTAGAATATTTTATCTTTCATAATAATTTTTTTAGTTTGAGCGGTTTATCACCCTTTGCTGGAAATACTCCAGCTGAAACAATAGAGAAAATTGGAAGAGGTCAATTTACATTCGATCATGATGCATTCAATGGAATTTCGGCTAATGGTAAAGATTTCATTAGTAAATTGTTACAAAAACAACCAAAGTAAGTTATTGCTTCTATCGAAAAAAATGTATACTGAATCATTTTAATCACAAATGTGTTTTGTTTTCGAGGAAAATCTTATTAATATACAGTTCACGGTTTTTTCAAAAATTCCGCAATGCTGGACAATAGACATTTTTATCACTATTCAAGTATTATGCATCGGTATACACTGACGACCTCTTAAGATTCAAACTCAAGGTCCTAAGAATGAGAAAGAATATAATTCGACTACGTTTCTAAAGGCTTATTTCGTAAATTCACTTTCGGCGATAAATATCTTCGGTGTACAAACATCCACATTTTCAGCACTTATGATAAGATTCTAGCGATAATAATAATAATAATCTACATAATTCTTTTATGATATTTGTTGATATTTCGTGCATTATGAATTAATGCATGAGATCATTGAATATTAAATGAATATTTAGACTTTGAAAGATAAATTAAGCGGCTTTCATATTTGATTCTTTAAGTGTTTCGTTACAAACTATCAGAAAGTTAAATATTTTTATTCTAGGACATGACGAAACACGAACTACACTATTTCAAGTTTCTACTTACCAACTTTTTTTATTTATTTTGTCTAGAGGAGGTTTTCGAAAGCATTCAATAAATCCCTTTCTCGTACATTTATATAAGTTTCGAAAAGAATATATAACTGGAATTTACTGTTTGTAACATTTTAAATAATTGATCAGTCAAAGGAGTAACACGTTCAGTATTTTTGCATCGAACACACTTAAAATAGATTATGCTTATGTTTAACGGGCTCAACACGTGAATGACATTCCATACACTTATTTATAGACAAACATCTCAACCGCTAATTTAGGTAGAACGAAGCTCTGGATACATTTTACCCCAAGTTAAATGGCAATTTTTTCAATACAATAAAGAGTTGTGAAACAGTTTTTCAACAAGGCCCACCGATATTTATTTTAGAGCTTTATAATCATCAAGATTTACCTTTAGTGTCATTAAAACCTATCCTCTGAATGAATCGGAATGAAGACAGATTTATCAATTTACTCAGCTCATACCAGCATTTCTTTACTGTTAATTACACCTGTAGATTGTAATGTTTGAAAACTCTACTTAATGCCTTAATTTTTCGCTTTTTTTATGTATCTTAACAGCCAGCGTATGACTATCTATGAAGCCTTAAAACATCCCTGGCTTAATGAAGCAATCACGGACGAACAGCGTCGACGTATTCCACCTTCACGTTATAAAGAATGTCAAAGACAAATGCATGAAAGAATGGTAAGTGGACGATAAAAACTAAATCATCACAAAATTTAAGCTAACTACAACTATATTCTCATATGATGTACTTTTTTCACTAAAGGATAAATAATCATCAAGGGGACTACATCAAAAATCAAACTCATTCAGTTATGTATACTGTTTATGGAAACGATGAATAAAGTTTAGAATTTCTGTTGTGACCAGATCATAAGTCTTTGATTATCGACATATTTCACAGTTTAGTTGATACATATTGTATATATCATAAACTAAGATTATGATATTCGCATAAATTGTAACTTTATCTGTTGAAGACTTCTCTGATTAAATATTGTGAAGTCCATTATTTCTGTTAGTTTAAGGTAACTTTCAAACGATTGAAGAGAACTGTAAAATAATTTTTTATTAAATAAGATTTAAAAGTTCAAGAATCATGAAATTTGGTATTCATTCAAGAATAAATAAATTTTATTGAACTCAGATTAATAGGTCAAATATAGAAATAATTTACAACCAATTAAATATTTCTTTTTGCAGACAAAACGTGTGCATCAGTTCACAATGAGCACTTATTTTGATAATAATTAAAACAGTTATTACTTTTTTAGTATTCATTCATTTTCGACCACAGTTGATCTAACGTCGACCTGTATTTTCATTATAATTGGTAACTTACATCCTTTTGTTCTGGTTGTTATCAAACATTAAGAGAAATCTCAGTATGAAATTGCGGAGAATGTCGAATTCTATTGAAATCGTGAATCGATCATGGTTAAACTGTCATTGAAAGTCTGGAAGTACTGAAAAGTCGTCCTGCTTTAATACAAGACTCCTCAGGAGTGTACACTCACGACGCGAACTACGGACCTTCGATCTCGCGCGAGAACGCCTAAGCACTAAACCACTGAGTCAAGAAAAACACCTACAGACTGAATAACATTGTTTGTGATTATTGTGTTCCTTAATGTTTTTTAAATATAAAATATACTTTAGGTTAAGCAAATTATAATGTTAAATGAAAAATATCTTGGTAAATCTTGTCGGATGATCCATAGTTCTTTATATAGATGTTTTTTTACTTATTATTGTTTTCTTCGGGCTTGAAGCCGTGCTTTGCTGAGTCGTGCCAAGAAAAATAGACGCTGAGTAAAAGGTTACCAGACAATCACCCGAATGTAATTAATAATACGTTGGTAAAACTGTGTACTTCATATTGTATGAAATATGTAAGGGAAGCTGGTTTATTTTCTATATCAGCTGAAACAATAGTCCCAAAGCATTTTAAACATGAAATTAGTTATGATTCAAACTTCAGTTATTTTTCTGGTGATGTCCTCTCTCAGCTAGTTGGTTTAATTATGGAGCGTTCCTTGTCGTCCTGGACTACGACTACTTCATGTAGAAGCGAGGTCTACAGGTATCACCTCAAGTGTTTTACTAGTTCTGATGACCTTGTTTGTGATTGGTACTTTTAACAACTTATGAAGACTACCAGTCATAAACAATTAAATTAAAACCAACTTATAGAGTAGTTGAAAAGTTCACTTTTACAATGAAGTAGTTGTTACTGTTGTTCAGATCGACAATGAACGCTTCACAATTAAAATATTCAGGTTAGAGGACGCCACCACCAAGTCGTTTATATCATTTCATAGTCATTTCTTATCCAAACAACTTTTAAATACTATTATCTAATCATTTTTACCTTTTGTGAAATGTTCTTTTTAATAGGGTGATATATATCAAAGAAGCCCGGCTATTGGTCATTTGGCAAATTATTCATCAATACGTCAAAATAGACGAGATAAATATCAAATACAAGAAACAAATTTCGGTATGCGAAGTAAAAGTCATGCATAAAAGATTTCTTTTTATGCTCTTTAATAAACATCTGCTTGCCATACTATATAACAATGAATTAACTCGGGCATGCTTCATCATTACTGAAACTTTTGATTGTTTTTCAACATTCGTGACATGTTCATTTAGTAACACAGTGTACTTATCATCAAAGATCTAGTTTTTTGAATGTCTGAAAATACCTAATCTATGACTAACCAATTCTGATTGAATTCATCTCAGCATGAACTGTTGTGAAGACAGTGTCTTTCCAGACCAATTATTCTATACCTAACCAATTTTTAATGCTTTTTAACCTTCTTATAAGGACTAATCGTAATTAAGAGAATAACTCATCGTTTTGAATGGAACAGTACAGTGCCAGGTACTGGACATCTAGCGCTGATGTGATATTCTTTGAAAAAATAATTGTTTTTACTGGTTTTGGCTTGGTGAGACATTTGAAATAATTGAATAAGATTGAGTTTTTCAAATGAGTTGACCTCATCATGGAAGGAAAATACTAAGAGAATTGATCTTAGAGAATATACCTGACTTTCTCAAGTGCACGTAATCAACATTGATACAGGCTTATTTTTAAGTGCATGTATTCAAGATGTTTGAATGTCAGCCAACTAAACCAGACATATAGTAAGAGGATAATTTTGTTTTTATTTGTAGACCATACGTATGGGGACAACCATTTTTTTTAAATGTTCGATATTAATGAAATATCTAACATTTTCAGTCATTTTTCAGTTCACTTAGTATGTCAGTGCTGAGTGTACACGTTTAATTTTGATTGCAACTTCATTTGTATTACTTAAAGCTATTTAGATGTGTCATCTGTCAACGTTCTGCCACAGCGCATTCAAACTTTCCAAATAAAAAGCAAATGAAGTTAAGATTTAAAACTTTGAATGAAATACTCAGTGATAATTTTCCTCTTACATTCAATATGATCTCACTAAATGAACGGGAAGATGCCAGATATTGCACACATATTGAACAATGAAAAGTAGATGCTCTACAAGTTCACAGATGCGTATCCTATCCCAACCATGATGCTTAATTGACACATTTTAACTATATTATTTTTAAGCAAAACTTTTCTTATGTTTCAGATCGTAAAGAGGCTGGTCCACGTTTTGTAAAATGGCCTAGTAATCAATTGGTGATGGAAGGTGAAAATGCACAATTTAATTGTCGTGTTATGGCACTTTCTGAGCCCATCGTCACATGGTAATCCATTACATCACACTATTTTGATTATTTTGAAATAAACGACAATTCTGTTTACCGTAAGATTAACTAATTAGCTTCATATATATCATAGGATACACAAAGCTACCATTCCTATATGTTAATCACTTGATTATGTAACAGTAATTATTAGACTATGCAGACCTCTAACAATAACATAAATCTCAGTTGCTCACTCTCATATTCAGTTTTTTTTAATTAATTGGTCACTGAATACTGACCAGTATCATGTTTGTCTAGTTCTTAGTATTGATCGAATGACACTGGTTACTACTCACTGACAAATAATTATCAATATAATATTCGTTAGTGAGTGCTCAGTTTTACGTCACAGAATGACAGCCCAGGTGATGCGGGTTCACATCTAAGAAAACATGACTTCCTTCGAGTTTTCAAGTACGCTTCGTTGAAGCGTTCCAACTTGTGTAATGGACACTACTCACAGGATTGTTTGTAAGTAGTGTGTAGCGGAAGGAGTTGTCGAAATTGCTACAGTTGTCAGATGGAGTGAGGAGTCAGTGCATCGAAACCACGGCGTTGGCAGAACATTTGGAGACCAGATGAGAAGACTGTTCAGATTGCAGAAAACACAGAAAGGTGCAAATGGAAGATTGAAAGCTGTGTATATGTATGATGTAAATGCTTAGTAACTGCTTTCAGTAAACATACAATTTCCCTGTCTATTGGCGTATTTCACACAAGCATAAAATTCAATATGTACCTTTGACTACCACCTTTCAGTTAAACTCCAATATGACAAATGTCTATGCTATGAAGTTTAAGAATAAATATCTTTGTACTTACAAACTTGTAATAATGCATTAGACAGTCTAATATTCTTCTGTAGTACAGTCAGATATTTGAAACAGGAATAGTTTCACTAATGGCGTTTCCACTCTCTGATCGTTGACTGCTACTTTTTTATACCAAATGAGTGGAATCTATTTTTAGTACATCCTTTACCTTAACAAGAATATTTTGGATTTTCTTCCTAATGCTTAGACTAGTGATAAAAACTAAATAAGATGAACATAATATTCTTCTAATCAGGTTTTGCATTCTGGTGTGGAATTTCCAGAACTAGTAAAATAACCTCTTTCCAAACTCTTCATTATCAGGATACGGTTTTTAGGTTAATCTTAGTGATCATTTCTTTGCATATGGTAATAGTTTCATTGTGCTTATTCATGACATTCAGGCATTTTGGTGACGTTCAATTATCTCAAAGTGTAAAACATATGCAACGCTATGCTGGGCACGATTATTCCCTAAAAATAAATAGGGTACGTACGGAGGATGCAGGACATTATACTGTTCGTGCTGAAAACAGTTTTGGAAAACGTGAATTCCCTGTCTTACTAACAGTACAACCACTACAAGAAATTAAAATTGGTAAGATGCTGTTGTTAATTCTCTTTAATTTTTATGTTGATTTTATTCCAAACATTCAAATTTACATCGTTTAAGTATACTCAACCAAATAATCTACTTTTACTTTTCATTAATTATAGAACCGTTGCCACCAGCATCACGTAAAAAGATTGAACCAGCGCCCGTCGAAATGTTCCATGAAGAAGAGACAGCACCGCGTTTCGTTTTCCATCTACGAAATCGTTATATACAAGAAGGTGGAAGTGTGAAACTGACATGCTCTGTCGATGGTTGTCCTACTCCAGTAATCACATGGTTTAAAGTAAGAAAACAGTACTTAAGCGAAGAGTCATTTGTGGAACTCAGATTTCATACATTTTTAATGACAATTTATTATTCACTGTGTTCGATTTCAAACCAGTTTATGTGATTCGTTTCTAATCTATTGACTGAAACGATTTAGCTATCCGATAGATCCATTTTTATATAGCATATGAAACTACCAACTAATTGAAAAACTACCTAACATTTCCCTTAATAGTGCCACACTGAAGCGATCAGTAATAAGCCCTTAGTTTGTTGAATCCACAATCCTACAAAGATTTAAAAGTAGTCTGTAGTAGTAGTAGTCTGTACTTTCATTAGATTGGCTTTATTATTACTAATCATTTTCACTATGCGTCAGTATTATAATGACCATGTTTTCATCAACTTATGATGTCAAGTGAAACCAAAGAACTCCCGAAAAGTTTTTTATCCTAATCTCGAATCCCTTAGCACCACATACCAATTAATCAAAACGTATTTCAACAAAGAAAGTTTAAGTCTTACGATAAACACTGGTATTCTTTATCCAAGTTGAGATTCAACTACTCAGGTTTTCAAGCTGCATTTCATTTTTTACATAGTCCTTTTCTCATCGGACAATTACGGTGTAAATCAGTTTAGAAGTATGAGACTGTCATTCAACCTATTGGGGGGATTTAGTGGGTAGACAATTGTTTGACCAAGTTGTTTGTGAAAATATTTCATGTCAAAGAGGGTACATATTAACTTTTTGAAAAATTGTATGTGAGATGCTTAAAACGAGACACGGTATTAATCACAAATTAATGTACTGTATTAGGGTCTTGGCTTTAATATATTAGGATAGTGTAATAAGGAACCGAAGATTATTAGAATTATATGATGTATTAACGCAATACATTTCGAACATAGTTCTGATAATCTTCGTCATCTTATTACACTACCCAAATTTATCAAAGGGACGAACTGCTTCAAATTTAATATATTATTCGCGCACTAGATTTGGCTTGAGTATACGAGAATGTTTGTCTGTATTTCACTAAACGATATTTAGTGTGTTAATATATCATATTGACCACAAGTAAATTCGTCTCCTAATCATACTATCTAATTTTATCAATATGTTTTTGTCTTTTTTTCTCCGCTGGTAAAAAGAGAGAAAAGTAAGAGGTAGATTGCAACAATAATTGACACAACTTGTAAATCAGAACGGTAAATAATGTCTTGGATCAAAACAGGGTCCTATTTATTCGTGCTTAATATACAACGAATGAAATACTGTGTTGTTCATCACAGGTTAATATATGTAGTGATAGATAGTTTTTCTGAAACCTGTGTCATAGTCACTAGCGTATAAGTTATCAAACAGTCCATTAATTATGTTTGATTGAACTGATATTTTATACTGTTCGTAAGTATAGATTATGGGGGATTTATAAAACTACCATAATACCATAGATATCATAATTTATTGTCTATCGTCATTCGTAATTATATTAATGAAGTGAATAATGGAATAATAATTGTATTGTTTTAAATAGTTTCTTGAGTTATTTCATACAAGTCATAATAAAATACATAGTACACGCACTATGTAATTAAAATCACAATTATTATTAAAAATTCAACATTTACTATTGTTTTGAGACGATACTGAAATTACTTGTAGACAGCTATTTCCTTATCTTCGCTAAATCAATTTTCACTTTGTTATAACTTGTGGCCTTGTGCCCAATTATAACGTAATGATACCGCCAATTAGAGAACAGTGGTTCATCGACCGGACCAATGACGCAAAAATCCGTACAAGCAATCCTAGAGTATTTATCGATCATTCTTTCTGCCTAGCCTTCCCGCCTCTCAAGTTCAGAACACCAATCTCAGCCTCCACGATATAAATCATATATTCCAAACATACTGCGTTTATATACAAACCAAACAGACCACATCGCATCACAAAATAGAAAACAACATTTGTACAAAATCTAACCAAACGTGGCTGTGAATATGAGAGACTGTAATTAATAGACTGGGTATAACTCAAGAACGGTAAATCGTATAATAATAATCTATTGGTCAAAATAAAGTTTACAATAAGAGGAACACGAATATGAATAGTTTAGTTACATAACAATTATACAATAAAAAATATATGTATAGTATTAGTCCAGAAATAGATTCCAATAGTTATCATTCATTATTCTCGTCGGGATATAAGACATTTCAGTTCGTTATTATAGACACATTTACTAAGATATGATGTTACATGTATATGATACACTTAAAATATAACCAGTTTATAATGAGAACAGCATCAGATACACATGTCTTATCAATCGACACAAAAAAAGTTCACTAACCTATGTGAATCACGATTCAGCTAGAATTATAAAGAATTACATATATCAATAGTTGAGATCATGAGTCAGTTGAAGCTAGACCACGATTGAAAACCTGGAAGCACCGGACGGTTGTTTCGTTCTATTGTAGGAATCCTAAGCAGTGCGCGAACGCTTAACATCTAGACCACTGAGCCGGCATCCAACTGTGTTAATGTCTAACCTCAACCAAGCCACGAAATTGCACGACCATCGTCTATTGTACTGAGGTAGATACCTGTCTCTACGTGACGCGGAATAGAAATTAACATCGTTAAGTGCCGGCTAGCTCAATGGTCTAGAGGTTGGGCGTTCGCGCACGCAGACCGAAGGTCCTTGGTTCGAGTCCAGCGGGCGAAGTGCACACTGCTGAGGATTCCCACAATAGGACGAAACGGCCGTCCAGTACTTTCAGGTTTTTCATGATAGTCTAAATTCAATTGACTCATGATCTCAATAAAAAATGTATATATATAAATATATCTACTATGGGAATAAAGTATTTATGTGGTGATAAGTCTTTTTTTGAAAATTTGTCAAGATAACACAATTAATGTTGACTAGTAATTCTCGTATACTACTTATTAGTAGTTGAAAGTTAATATACGAATTTACAAGTATTGAATTTTTAAATGCTTCATATTACTTTTGTGGTGAAAATTTTCCTCGGAAATATATATATATATCAGCAATTAAAGAAGAAATATTTTCTTTTGAGTTGTCGCTTAATACTTTTAATTTCCTGCAAATGTTTCTTAAAGATTAATCACACTCAAGCAAATGCACTGAGATTTTAACCTGAATTGTTCTATCTAACATTATGGTTTTATGATAGGACTTGTTTAATAACTAAACTAATTTACTTATCTACATTATACTAGTTGAGATTTATTTAACTTAGGCCAAACTATTGAGGCACAAAACCAAGAACATACAAGGAGAGAGTAAAGAGATTTCATAGTGATATTAATAGTTCTAATATCAAATGAGTCTTCCATATTCTTAACTTTAAAGATATTCTGTTTTTCTGAATAGTGAGAAAAGTACCATTATAAAGCCTATCTTCTATTTATTCATCTGAATTTTGTTTTAGTCAGTGGTATTACCTTCTAGAAAATCAAGGAAAACTTAAAAATCATAGGTATTCCCTAATGTCATTTTATGACTGGTTTCCGTATAAATGTTATATCAGCCACTTGTGATTTGAAGAAGAGAGGTGATGGCATCTTATTTAGATGAGGTCACACTTGTTACACTGTAGTCTGTCCTATTTGAAAGCTTGGATATTGTTCTAGACGAGTTAGGAATGTGTGGAAAATAATTATTTTCTATCATGCTCTTTTACTTTCCAATTTAATCTCTTGTGTTTTGTTTAAACATTGAGGTTTAAAAATAAGTTTTTTTTATTGTATCACTAGTGTAGAGAAGGTATTGACACCTTGTGATTCGAATATTTATCTAATAAAGAAACTATATTCATGATAAGTTAGCTGTATAATAATCATGGTAAACAGGAGACTATTCATTATTCAAACATATTCCTAAGGATTTATTTAGACTTACAGTTTAGGTAAGAAACTTTAGATTGTTGACAATAATTAAATGGATCTACAGTTATCAACTGCCTTGAATTAATTAGCCGGTGAAATTCATATGCACTATAGCTATTTTTGTACGTTGACAAAATTTATTTTATACATTTACCTGGTAAAGTAACAAAAACATTTTATTTTGGTAAAATTATTTCAACAGAATGGTAAAGAATTAAGAAAAGGTGATGGGAATTATGAAATTCAACAGATGCTTGGTATTACGTCACTTGAAATATATTCCTGTTCAGAAAATGACTCTGGACGATATTCCTGTCGTGCAGTGAATAGTCATGGTGAACATGAAACTGAATGTAAAGTTATCGTTGAAGGTGAGTCATATTAAAAAATGTATTGGATTATTCTTTCTACATTTTAAGTGTAAATAGAGGTAGTCTGCATCAATCACTTACGTTCTCAAGAGGATTTTGTTCACACTATTCTGTCTATACAGAATTCATAATTTGTTAACTTCTATTTGTATACAAGTTTACAAAATTTACAACTCAAGAACTTAATATTTCTTAGGAGAAATGCACTCAACTAAAGATAATCCTCCTAAACAGGTATATTTCGATTAATTTTTTCATAGCGAGCCGTGTTAAACGATTTCTCAGTGCTCAACATGCTGACCGAAAAATACGTTCAAGTAGTCAACAACCTACTGGTTTTGAATCAAGAAATGAAAATTCTTCATGGCGAGATGATAAAAGAACTTTGACTCGTCTTACTGAAAGACATGCATCAGAAGTACGTGAAATTAATGAAACACGTGATAAATGGTCAAATAATGAAATCAGAGGATTACGTGACTTAGTGGAACATAGACCTTCCAATGGTGAAATCCAACCTATTCGAGTTGCTGCACCTAAATTGTCAAAAGGGTTAAAACCCATTACACAAGTTGAATTAGGCAAAAGTTTCAAATTGGAAGCAAGATTTGAACCAACAAATCCCCCAACTAAAATTCGCTGGAGTTTTAATAATCAAGTTAGTTGAATAGATTTTGTAATGAATTATTGTTTTATGATAGTTTAATTGAATGTAATTAAATATTTGACTATATATATCGGTGTTTTTGGCGAAACAAGTCAATAGAGCAGGTAGTGTACGGCAATTATAATTCAATTTGATAGATGCTACTTTTATGGCATATTTTCATCCGTATCTTTTTAAACACTCACAAATACTAATAAATACCAGTCCGCCACACTGCATTTGTTATTTCATTATATTTCAAATTTATACTTTCTGTTATTTATTGAATACTAACTGATCACTAGAATCTTGTTTTACTTAAGGATTTTTAAAATTTGACTAGACCACTTGTTATACCACTGGCTCCCACTAGTTTTACGGTATTCATCTTATAGAAAATCCTCGTGGTTTATTGACAGCAATCGGATGAAGTTATCTCGTTGAATGAACTGAAAATATAGATCAGAGAATGCCCTGGACTCATTTCACGTGATACTTACATCAGTGAAAATAGTAATCTGATTCAAATTTAGCAACTAGTTCCTAGTGCATGACATAATCGGGCTAATCGACAACAATCACCACCTCTATATTCTGTGCTTATCAACACTAGCTTTTTATCACAGATTTGAAATGATATAATCCAACTATTGAATGGAAATTCTGCCATTGGGTTATTCAAATTCATACGCATACCGCTATGCATTTCCATGAAATTTAAGCTTGGTTGTTTGATAAATATATTTTATACATTATAACACTTTCAATTCATTTGGTTACTACTGTTATTTAAAGATGAATTTATCAAATAAGACTTGATATACATAGAGAAAATCTTTATTAAGTTGACTTTTAACCATCGTGTAACGCTATTTGGCACGAAACAAAAATCCACTTTTTTCAATTAGGAAACGTTTTTATATCATAATAAAACAGATTGTCTTAATTGTGTAACTGTTTTTAAAATTGTCATATATTTACACTGAATTGCAGGAAATCACTTCAGACGGTAATATAAAGATCACAACATCTGAAGATGGTGAATTCAGTTATCTTGAAGTATTTGATTCTAGTTTTTCAAATGCAGGTGATTATGAAGCTAAAGCTGGGACAACTATTACTCGAACCAGTGTCAAAATTGAAGGTATGTATCATTTATTCAAGAAGAATATTTTGAAATGTTAGTTGCTTTGTTTAGATTAGATTGAGAAGCACTAATTTAAGAATTGCTTTGATAATTCATTTTATGCTAAACTCCAAACAACTGATTCGATAACAGTTTTCCATCACACACCGTTAACAAAAAAGGAACTGAATGGATATTTCATCGTATACATCACATTTTTATAATCGTCTTCTTTATATTTCTTTCACAACAGAATACAAGTACATTGTTTTGTTGCTAATAAGTTGAAATGTTGTGTTCTACATGTTATAAGACTGTTTGACATAATCTAAAGACTCATCAATGATGTTGATAACTATATGTATACTAGTTGAATCTAGTGGCTGAAACTTGTTTCCACTTATTTTATGCTTATAGTCAGTAAGATATAATACAGGGAATCAAATATTTTTTTAAATTCCATACTAAATCTTGTCATTTGAATCATATTCCGATTCAGTGGGAGGAATGGCTGATCTACAAAACTCCATCCTTTGATTTCCTAATTACCAGATTTTAAAACATGATTTGCTCGAAGATAGCATTCAAAACTTCTTTTATCAATTTTAATAAGTAATGAATTTAGTGGTAAACTCTCATTTATACGACAAATTTAACAGTTGTGAATCCCATTACTCTTAATATAAAATACTTTTTTACTGCATATATAGCCCCAGCTAATTCATTGAATGGAATGATAGATGAAAATGATGACGAACTGTCAGATGAATTTTCTAGTCAAGCTGTTGAACAAGTAATAAATGATAATGATGGAGGAATCATACCTAAAGCTGTTGGATTAGCGCCATTATTCACTGTCCATCCAATAAGCCAAACTGTCAAAGAAGGAGATACGGTTTGTTTAGAGTGCACTGTATCAGGAGATCCCATTCCAGAAGCTGAGTGGTATTATAATGATGGTCCTATTCAAGCTGGACATATATTTTCTCAAGATAACGAAATCATAAAGCTTGAATTACAAGCTCTATTACCCGAAGACACTGGTACTTACGAATGTCGTGTCACAAGTTCAATGGGAAAAGCATCGACTATTGCCTTCCTTGTTGTCGAACGTAAGTTAAATAAAGGAACGGTTTTCTTTTTTAATACTCTATCAAGTTACTTCTTTGAACTAGTGAGTTTTTATCTAAGCTGATTTCAGTTTATGATAAAAATCTCCTTCGGTATTAAATAAACCAAAAGATTAAAAGGTAAACTGTTTCCCTAGTCCAAAGTAACCATCATAATTTTCATGCACAAAAATAGATGGAAATGGCACTTCTAATTGGAACTATTACGTTTAAGACTAAGGCATTCTATGTAGAATCGTTTTATTCATTGACAATTTTTTCATTACTTAAACTGGTTATAAAATCGTTAAGTTTAATATAAGTTTCTATTCACTGTCGGCACATTGCAACGCCTTAACAACAACAAAATGGTATTGGAGTTCGATAATTGATTGTTGTATATCTGCAGCTCAGTTAGATTTAACATTTAGTTGTAGAATAATAATATTTAAACTGGAGAAATAGTGTTCGTGCTCCTTATCTCCCACAAGTATTTATAACTGCCTTAATTTTAGTGAGATACTAAAGGCTTTGAAACGTCCTAAGATAACTATTGAATAAGCATCCGACACATACTTTGGCGTATCGAAATTTCTAGGCAAGTGTTTATGGATATTTCTGTATCTATATACCTGTCTACAATCATCACAAAATATATCTCACAAGTGGCTAAATGAACAGAAGCCATCTACTGTAATTCATTGTAACTTAAGGATTTCCAAATACAGATTAAAGGACTAGTCAGAGTTATGAAAGTACGTTTACTAAGTGGGTTGTGATTTTGTATGAATATCTCACCTTGCTTTTCACTTTAAACATCAGGTAGTATCTAATTTTTATAAATCGAATGATTTAAAAAATTCTTGTTTTATCATCTTACAGCTGCAAACGAAGTGCCAAAAGGACCTAATTTCCTCACTTTCCCACAATCACGTAGTGCTGAAGAAAATGAATCTGTTACTTTGAAATGTTCCTTTAGTAATTCACCAGTTGAAGAAGGTGAGTAAGCAGTTCGGTTGAAAACGCACAAACATGTAGATAAAGTGTGAAATAAAGATAACTTGAAATTTCACCAATCTTTTTCTCTGATTTACTTTGTATTGCTTTCATGATTTCTTTTGTTTTGGATTGTATTACCCAAGAGTTGGAAGTAATTCATCGTTAACTAGTTTTACATTCAAAAAGGTACTTAATTTAACAAAATTCTCGAAACTTGTGTAATTACACTGCAGAATGAAACCATATTATTTGGGTTATATATATATATATATATATATATATATATATATATATATATATATATATATAGAGAGAGAGAGAGAGAGAGAGAGAGAGTAAATGAATGAAGTAGACTAGATTTTCTCATTTGTTTGCTTTTATAGTTTCGTTTACTAACTTGTGATTAAGCTTCCTAAATTAAAATGAAGCATAACGAGTGTAAATATAATATAAGGTTAAATCGTTCAATTTTCATTATATGTAAATTAAAACTTACTATTGTTATGTTACATATGGAAATTATTCGGGCTTCATATCTCAAGAATTTGTCTTTAATTTTATTAAGCATTCTATGGTTCACATTGGTTCAGGGAATTCATTTAATTCAGAAACATTTTCTCGGTAGATTTTCAGGAATTATTTTATAAAGTAAAAACTTAATTCTAAGCTTGGCGACCAAGATGAATCTTTCTGGTTTAAAGTTATCATAAAATACTGTCCACTCATTAGTGACCTAATTTATGGATTGCAATTCGTATTCACCGGTTAAGGAACTTGGATGAAAAAGGTATCGTACTTGAGCCGACGCTTAAAGATTATTATCTCGGTCACGTGTAGGACAGTGCTACTGGGTCCAGAGTCCCCGAGTAGTGAATAACTCGTTTTCTGTTAAAGTTTTGTTCTTTAAGCTGAATAGCTTGATCATAGAGCTTTCACTGTTCTATTAGATAACATTATAAGTACAACATTGGGATAAAAGCTGAAGTTTACGCCAATAATGTTTTTCAGAAGAATAATGAAAGCTTTACGATCAAACCATTCAGCTCAGAGAACGATCTCCAACAAGATCATCCACATGAGCTACATATCTTCCCGAACATCTTATTTCCCTGTTGATTTTAACTTTCGAACTAAGACTCTAAAGCAACCTAACAAATAAATTAAATGTATTTAAAAACCATTGTGATCAAAGATTTGGTATTTTGAGTAACAACCGTTGATCAGTGACGTGGAGTAAATAGTTCACGATTCATTAATACGCAGTTCTTTCCTTATAGGTTTACCTTTTCATATATGCTTTCACAATGTTAACTGTACAAAGAACTACGAAAATTGATAAAACTTATTATTTTTGAACCATTTTATAAAACTTTAGTTTTTTGGTTTCGCAACGATGCTCCGTTGGATCCTAATTATTGTGATTTTGATAAATCTGCTCAAACCAGTATATGCATCCTTCCATCGGTGAAAGCATCAAAAGATTCTGGAATTTATTCAGTAAAAATCAAAGATATTAATGGTAACTCATTTGTATGTAAATTTTGCCTACAAGTCATACCATCTTTATTGGTGAATGATAATAATTCAGTTAAAGTAATTTAAAATTACATATTTTGTACAGGAAAACTAACTTATCCTAATGTTATCATGATAAATGGCTTCAAAATTGTAATAGACCATATACTAACTAACATTTCAGAATAAATTTATGATCTAAAAAGAAAACATTATGTTCCCATATTCAAGCACAATATCACACACAATCTATGAACTATTATCATTCATTGATTTATACATTTTTTTCTCTCTCAAAACATTAGTAATTCATAGAAACCTTTTATTCTCCTCCCCTCCCCCTTGATTATACTAACAATAAATGCTTTTTCCCACTTTGAATAAAATTCAAACAACAACATAGAAACAAACAAATCAATAAAAATCTCCGGAAATAATTGTGTAAATGATACAATCATTAGAGGAATATTATTTTTCAAGTAGACAAAACAACCAACAGAAAGAATATTCCAAACCAGTTTTGTTTTTCTTAAAAGAAAAAAGAAGGAAAGATTTCATTTTCTTTTAGTTCATGTTATTATTTTGCTAGTCATTTCAATGTGTATACATACTTGTATGTATAAGATGAGATCATATTCACTAAATAAAGAAATAAAGAAAAAATGATACGTTATGAATGTTATAGAAAGTCAATCACTGACTGTTCACTTATGTATTTTGTGACTTGAAACAACAACAACGAAAAAAACTATTACTAAAACTTTTCATTTTCAACGCTTTACTTTCTCCCATTTCGTTTTTTTTGTCTGTTTTTGGTTTTAACTTTCCAAAGTACTATAGATGTTTTTTTGTTGTTGTTGTTGCCAAACATGGAAGGATTATCTAATATAATACATGTGTATACTATTATCTATTATTTATCATGATAACTATTAATGTGATTAAACATTTCAACATTTGTCTTGCCTTTCTCTGTTGTCTTTTTGTTGTTGTGTTTTTAGACAAAATTCTTCGATGCTTCCTCCCTTTGTTTTTGTTTTCTCTTAATTTATTTACTTATTCTCATTCCCATGAATATTTCTTTATTGGAAATAAAAAGAAATCTGTTCTCTTCCTCGCCTAACCGGATGCTTTATTATACTCATATTTTCTTTAAATATTTAAAAGAAATTTTATGATTATATACAAAGAAAACGACTATACAAAACTTTATTATAATATGAAACAATTCTAACAGTTATTGGTTTGTTAGTTTTTTGTTTCCAAGTTGTATGTACGTAATCATAAAGCATATATTTCCTCATTTATTCATTTAACTCTTTTTAAAATAATATTTTCTTTTTCTATCTTATATATTTGTCTTCTATTAACAACGTAATTGTTGAAAAAAATAGTTGCTAACCTCTCTATTTGAATCATTTATCATTATTATTGTTGTTCTGTTATGATTTCTTTCGAATTTAATGAGTAGTTATGAAATAGGCTACAGCGTAAGTAGAAACTTACTAAAACTGTTGATAAGATCTTATGACTTCCAAAAAAGAAAACGCAACAAGAACGACGACAACAGCAACGACCAACTCTTCTGCTTTATTACAAATAAGAATAATCTAAATGAACAATGATTAATGTTATCATTTAAAATTATTTCATTTCCCCTTGAAATTTTTCTTAATTTATCACTAGTCTATTCGCATGTTTATTTACTTATACAAAGTAAAATCTTTTCTCAATTCTAAATCTTTTCTTTGTTCTTTGATATATTATGCAAGTGACTAAATGATATTAATCGTAATGATGATAATACTGATTATTCTTATTATTCTGTTATCCATTACTTGATAATGATAAATAATAATAATCATCTCACTCATTATATGTGCTATTTTTTAGCCATTGAAACAAGAAGTTAAATTGATTTTACGTAATCTGTATCCTGTTTTTACATGATTTTTTCTCTTCCTTTTGTTGTCGTACTTTTTCTCATCGTTAAGTCCTTTTTTTCTTCTTTATTGCCTATTTGTTTCTTTCAACAGAACTGAAAAAAACTTTTCTTCTACCTGACCCTATATTAAATGATAATTATTTACTGACATAAATTATGTTCGATCTGAGAGAAAAAAAAGAATCTGTTTTAAAAAAATAAAGTTTGAAAAATTATTTTCTGTTTTAGAACATGAACTAATTTAAGGGCTTACTAGTATTGCTTTAAGTAATCTTTGGTACTGAACATGTTTTATCGAGTTGATCCAAATTCCGTTACAGAGTGAAAAATATTTCAACCAGCGGGAAGCTCTGAATTTGGATTTTGAGCTTATTGTTGCTTGTAAGTACGGCATATTTGCATTCTTGAAGCAACGCATACTTTCCGTACAATTTGAGCCTACATTACCAAGTGTTACTGTCGGAAATACTACTACTGTTCTATTCGAGTCAAAATTGACTTAATGTACAGTTGAAGTATCTTACAATGGCGGTCACTGATTAGTAACCAATATCATATTTATTTATTCATTGGTACTGGTTGAACTCGATAGATCAAATTACGATATGGACACTAGATTACAGACATATTTTGCTGACGTGTACTAACTAGCATTAATTCACTTGATATTGTTTTATTTGAATCTTCCCATTGATGTTTTTGGACTGAAATTGATCAGTCTCTTATTGGCATATGTGCATACTGTGCGTATCCCTCGATATTGCCTTAATTTACAAGCATTATAAGCAAAGATGCCAATAAGAGACTGATCAATTTCAGTCCAAAAAACATCAATGGGAAGATTCAAATAAAACAATATCAAGTGAATTAAACTTCAACCCATTGCACAAGCAAGTGGCTATCAGGACTCAGTAGCTAAGTGGATAACGCGATGGCGTTTGAAGCGAACGGTACTGAGTTCGAGTCCCAGAGTGAACATCAACTCTGAGATGCAGGTACATCCAGCTGACGAGTCCCAAACAGGACGAAACGCGCGTCCTGGATTCCACTGCTAGCCACTATCCATCTTTGCTTATAACTAGCATTAAGTTTAGATATGTGTTCTGGTTACTTACAAACATCCAATATCAAACTTATTGCATCCAATGTTGATTCAGTTAAACCAGCGACCACTTCGCAACTTGATCAATACAATTCGATCAACATTCGAAACTGGTCAAGGACGAAATTAATTATTATTCAACAATTGATCGGTGCAATGTTTAATTACTTTTCAGTAAACACACGAGAATTGTACTAGTTAATTCTGACTTTAATTAGGAAGATAATCGATAATGATAGTTCTGATATGATGGAAAGAAATGTCAATTTTCGATTGATTTACTCATTATAAGTTTTGTTCAAGATTACTTCCGTTTTGATTCAATGTAATGATTACTCAATGTATTATTTGTTTTCTTTTCTCGTATGATATTTTATACTGTATAATATGCGATATTCTTGTATTCCATTGACATGAACTATGCTCAGTATGTGATTTGTTATAACTCTAAGTATGTTTCATATATATGATTTCATCCTAATCATTAATCGAAATGGATGTACGAATCAATATATAAATGAGTGTATTCTAGACTAGGGTCGTCGTCGTCGTAGTGTTTTGGAGTTAGTAAATCATCACTTATATCAGTCTTTGTGTTCTTACTTTCACGTCGTGGGAATCGCAGAGGCCTCTCGTTCCGAGTATAAGCGATCAGCACTTTTCCGGCACAACAATCAGCGATGACCAGTTATAATAATTTACTAGTTATAACAGGTTCTTGTATACATTGTACAATAGCAACCTTATAACAACAATACATTATGAAAAAAATGTCTCATTGGATTTAAGATAAGTTTCTTATTATTTTTATTTGATTATTTCCGTATAGCTATTTCAAATTACCAATGGAATAGTACAAAAATCATTCAGTTTTCAATAAACAATTCATTTTCTAGTAGATTTCTTTATTTTCATTTTTGTAATTCCATTTTTTACGCACATGACTTTTGAATTTGTACAGTTCTGTATATATAATCACTTAGATCATGACCAATATTTATTTAGGAATGCTAATATATGCAGAATAATTAATTTAATGGATTCATGTAAATCACTTTGTTAAAAGAATAATATTTATCGGGTCAACAATTACATGTTATTGATTAGTTAAAAAGTTGATTAGTTACTAAGCCATTATTTTACACAAAGACTAGTACATATATATATATAACTTCCCAAAACTTGAGCGATGAATATATTCATGTAAAAAGATCAATAAATTAGTAAACATATTTTGTTAGCCTTTGTTGTTAATAGTAAAGCTGAAGTAGATCACAGTCAATATTTCATAGTCTCATGACTATGGTATAATTATTTTATATTTCATGTTAGTTTTAGTTAAGATAATTCTTCATATATCTAAGACACTTCATTTGACCTTCTGGATAAATGAGGCAAACAAATCTATTCTTTAACTACTTGTCAGGTGGTGGAGAAGATTTGTAGCTCAGGTGGATGATTTGGGTGGTTTTGTCCTCTGAGCTGGATGGTTTGGTCGTGGAGCTTTTATCGTTCTTCTGAACGACATCATCAGCACAAACTTCAGATAGAAGTGAAGTGTTCGAATTTCTCCATATGTGTTTCACAGCTTGTTCTGTGCACCTCGATGTCGATTAGTTCTTATTGACTTTAAATTTATCATTGTTTACTTCTTTGGGGAGACTTCTTTTGGAAGACAACCAAAACAAAGAAGTAAACAATGATAAATTTAAAGTCAAGAAGAGCCAATCAACATCGAGGTGTACAGAACAAGCTGTGAAACACATATGAAGAAATTCGAACACTTCACTTCTATCTGAAGTTTGCGCTGATGATGTCGTTCAGAAGAACGATGAAAGCTCCACAACCGAACCATCCAGCTCAGAGAACAAAACTCCACCAAAATTTAACTGCTTGTCTTTTGAATGTATTATACTGTGAGATTTTAGGAATTATTATCATTTCTAGAATAAGGAAGAATGATAAAATTTTCATTTTTATCTGTTATTTCTTATTAGTTTATTAAAGAAACTAAATACAATTGAAAATTTCACTAGTGTTTCATTTTACAAAGAGGAGATCAGTCAGCTATCTTCCTTAGTTATATGGCGAATCGAAATATACAGGAGGCCTGAGTGAATAAGACAATAACTCAGCTTTTATAGCTTCTTTGTAGTCATTATATTAATAAGTCTTGATAAAAGTTCGATTTAATACAATCAGTGGCGTTTGATCAAAAGTTGTTAGCGAAGATGAAGTGAAGATATTACATGGAATAGTGATATAGAGACTACAGTTATTTTAAAGTGAAAATAGATAAAAGAGCCAAAATATGTTGGTAATTATGTTGACATCACTAAAATAATATGTTTACATAACCATATCATTCAGTAGTTAGTTTAGTCGCCTTGTATTCAAATAGAAACGTGAATCCGTGGTCATTAATGTCTTTTACTCAAAATCACAATCGTAACAGGAAAAACAAAGCCTATGCTTTATTAGTCAATCAAACTTGATACAAGCTGTTTCGCCAAACACCGTCCACATACAACATAAACAGAAGTTATTAGAATATTCAAATAGAGATAGTTGAATATTTTCCTGAATATTTATAAAAACAAACTTATTCTAATGAACAGATAATAAATACCCATTCTTTTTTATTGATAAACGTAAAGCAGAATTGATTCATAAAACCTGTTTAAAGACAATCTTTATAGTGTTTTATGGAAGTGATCAAGGTTGAATGCACAAATTTATCAGAGTCTTAACCATATACATATTCAAAAAAAGTTTGTACTTACAACAAACCTACCATAATTATAGTAACTCACATTTTTAATATCAAAGGTGATGTGAGTTGTTCTGTTTTATCTTATTATCCTTTAATTTATCTAATAGTTTTGATTGTTGTATTTATCATATAAATCTATTTTAATAAAAATAGCGTATGATTAAATCGTTCTAAATTTAATGTACTAAAATATTGGATGGTTATGACAAACATTATCTTCTCATTAACTCACTTTAATTTATCATTCTTGTAATTGATATTACTAATGGTGGAATAATATACAAGAATTTATATCTTATTGACAAACATTCAGAAATTACACAATAGGTAATAAGAAATTAATAATATCGACAGTGATCAGGAAATGATTAACATTAGAGAGTTAACGAATAGGTTCTGGACTTACAATTCTGAGAAAATTGAACATGATTTATCTTGTGCTGGAAACTGCAATTATTTCAGTACTAAGCCAGCCTAAATAAACATGAATCATATCATATAAATAATTGTAAAATTTATTTCTAACCATAAAATGTTAGATGCTCTAAACCAATGTGTTAGATGAATAATGTTATCAGTTGAAGAGCAAAAAAACTGCTGACTATATCAAACCTGTTATTCTTTAAAGTGACTGATAATATCTCTATGGTAATGATAACTGATTAGCTATTAAGATCTTGACATAAAACAAAAAGTTATAGGACTATTTAAAAAAGTATATACAAGAAAGAGATATCGATGAAGTAGTACCTAAATTAAGACAGTTTTTGTTCTGGTAGATAAAAATCTTGCCGAAAAACTGTGAGATTCGGAATATTGTGTTCAGACAACAAAGTCAAAGAATCATTTAAATGTATATTTAAAAATGTTTTTAGGAAATACAAAGAAAAGTAATCTGGTAAGCATAAACAGAAACTGTGTTTTCTATTTTATTTGGATAAGATTTTGCCAAGAATTTATAGAAGAATTAGGAGGGGCACAAAAAAAAACGCATTCTTCTTCAGCTCAACTGGTTTCAGCATACAATAAGGAATGCTTATTAGACTATTCAAAAGTTGATTATAACTCTATTGATACCACCGTCAACTGTATTATTGGACTTAGATGTACTTGTGGTAAAAGATTTATAAAAAGAGTTAGGAAAAGGACTTCTACAAGATTTTAGGGATTAGTACTCCCAAGTCTTTACTTGAATGAAGTATAGTCTTCAAAACTGAAGCTGCTGAAAGTTCAAATTTGTTGAATGACAATCTTACCTTTATTTGTAGCCTTAAAATCGAATGAATGCGTTTTTAATTCTGTAAGTCTTATCATTCCTATGTTGTTCAAAATTATTGTCTTGTCTTTTATTCACCATTATTTGCGAAGTTAAAATACGATGAAATTTTTGATGCATCAGAGATTCTTATGTCATACCTGAAGCATAGAGTTTCCTTGCTGGTAAATCTATTTATGTATTTTTTTATTTTAATTGTGTTGTTCTACATATTTAAGTTCATAGTCGATTGTATGGGATTTAAATGGATACTCATTTTCAAGAAATTGGGATCTCACTTCATCGGTTTCCCAAATCAATTAAATTAATGTAAGTATTGCATTTAATTAGCTGATAACATTAACCAATACATTTATCATTCAGAAATTAGTTTATCTGGACTTTGTATAACGTTTTTGATACTCAAAATTGTAAGAATTTAATCTAGACATACGTAAATACACGAAAGTATAACACTGACGTTTTTTTCAATGTGACTTATTCATCAACAATAATTAGTATTTCATCGTGTACACCCCAATATTCTTAGTCCATGGATAAACGGAAATCTGAACATTATTCTGAAGCTTCATGATAATTCTGTTTTGGTAACGCGTCAGTCAATGACTAAAACAACTGAAAACGACGCTGTCTTCAAGCTTTGAATGCTGATGAAATATATGTTTGATATTATGATTGAAGAGCAGGAAGCACTGGACTGACGTTTCGTCTTATTGTGGGACTTCTCAACAGTGCACATCCATGATTCCGCCTCACGTAGCTCGAACTCAGGACCTATCCGTCTCGAGCATGAACGCTTAACCTCTTGTCCACTGAGCTGACCGGCATCCAATGGTGTTAATGTCTCACTTTAACTAATCCACGTAATTGAGCGATACATCCACCATTGTCATCAGTTAGCTTCTATCTCACAACCGACCCGGTTGAATTCCACTGATCATTGCTTCTCACTAGAACTCCAGGAAATACCTCTTGAAATAAATCACTAGTGAACATATGTTGATTAGTACCAAAAGGAATTTTGTGGATATTATAGTAATTTAATAATTGAATTCCTTAGTCGATTGAATCGTGGATAAGCACAGCTGAGGCATCCCATACTAAGACGAAGCGGCCGTTCAGTGCTCCCAGGTTTTCCATGGAGGTCTAGCTTCAAGTGACTCATGATCTCAACTATTGAAATATATATATATATATATATATGTCACAACTGTTATTTATGTTTCTCACTAGTAAATTAAGTTAACAACTCTAATAAGTTAAGCTAATTATTATCATATAATAAAACTTTCTTTATATGAACCGTTCTTCATAGAAAATTACTTACATAAAACATTTCAATAGTTGTTCTTATTAAATTTGCCTTAGCAACATATAGAATAGTTGATCTCAATTTTATTATTACAACTCATTAATGATAAATATGGATTACAGCTCAATAGTTGTTTTTTTTAATAAGAAAATAGCATAACACTTAAAAGTAAATAAATGTTTATAAAATAAAACATGAACAAATCAATATTCCATTGATTATATTGGAAAATCAAATAATTCATTAAAACCCTTTTTTAATCCTTAATAGATCATTGATTATGAATATATATATATATATATATATATATATATTAGTCAATTTCATGTGCAGAATATAAATAAACTGAACCATTATCATCTAATACATTTCCTTGTATAGGATCATAACGTACATGTTTAATATCAACTTCCCATGATTTGATATTATTATTCTCAATATAATAAGAATCTGTTTGACATAATTTATTTTTTATTTTTTTATTTTCTTCTTTTTCTTTTTTGATATTATGTTCTTTTCGATGTTTATTATGATGATTAATATTTGAAGTACTTGGAATTGGTTCAATTATTCTTTTATCATTATATAAATCATGATCATTCATATTATTATACGTATGTAGTATTGATTTATGCTCATTATAATGATGATTTGATTGTGGATTATTATAATTAATTTCTAATATACCATTCGATTTATCAATAATCTTTTCATTCAATTGATTAAATGAAGTATTTCTTAATGAATTCAATCCAATTACATGATTTGTCATTGGAACCATTTGGTTTTTATCAATTAAACCTTTTCTATTTAATGCTTTATTCTTTAATGGTATTAATTGTAATTTATTATTGGTTATTAATTTTTTTTTATATAATTGATAAGGATAATAATCGATTTGTTTATTGAATGTATATTTCCATATTAATAATTGTGTATCAATTAATTGAATTAATTTATCAATATCAGTAATATTTTTTGTTGTTATAATTAAAAATTGTTTTTCAATATAATCATCATCATATAAACCAATAGCTAATTGTAATTTATGTTGATTAAATAGAATAATTTTTTGTATTGTTTTATATTGAATTACATTTTCATAACGATATGGCCACCATGAACCATTTTTTAATATTAATGATGTATAAGTTAATATTAATTTTGTTTTAATACATTTTTTTGGTTGTTTCCATGGTTTATTATAATATTGTTCATAACGATATTGTAATATTGGTAATGAATAATCATCATGTATATATAATTCAATATAATTTTCTATATGTATTGTGATACATAATAATGGTGTAATTGTATTCAATGATTGTTTATTCATTATTATTATTATTAATGTAATTAAATGATCATTTAAAGAATACAATCTATTTGTATATATTTATATACTTATATTACATTTCAATGATAAAAGTAGGATGTTTATTTGAGTTAGAGTCTTTTTTTTATTTTTTTTAAAAATGGAGTATAATTTATCAAAAAATCCAAATTGTATATGTGACTTGTTGTTATGCTCAAAGTTTCTTATAATCAAATGAATATTATAGTCATTTTTCATAACATTCTATATGGAATAAACCATGTACATAAATGAATTGATCAATATGCATAAATATTGATATCATAGTTTAGAGAGAAACGTTTGTTTTATTTTTATTTTGATTTTTTTTTTAAATTTTCGATTCATCTTAACAACCAATCAGATTAATATAGTGTAAACTGTTTTGTGAATACTTGAAATAATTCAAGAGAGAATAATAATAATAATATGTGTAACCAATGATTCGATTTGAATCGATTAGTAGTTAATGTTAGATAACAGAGAGAGAGATAGAGAGTTGTAATGAGAAGTGAATAGACGCCAAGTCTGTTGTAAAATATATGTATCTATGTATATTTCCTTGGTTATTTATTCAAAGAGAAAATAAAGTATCCTCAATCATCCAACGATTGATTAGTTGATTGTTTAGTTAAGAAAACGATTTGTATTTTTCATGTAATGTAAATATATGTATTCTTTAAAAATGACAAACATTTCAAAGATTTGACTACAGACGGTCACTATGTTGAGATAAGATGGTGGTTGGAGGTAGTCAACAGGATACCCTGTACCTAGATTTCGTGCTACTTGGCACTTGTCGGAAAGATATACCTGAACTGATGCTCTATGACGGATTTTATACCGTGTCACACGGCTTCGCAGTCGGCGACGTTACCATTGAGCTATCCGGACCGCGAACGACCTCCTGTAGGACTGAGATATATTTACAATTGACTGATAACTGGGTGGTGACCACTTTCATGTATGTCAGGTTCTTCTTAGTGCAGATCGAATCCTATCAACCAAGTCGCAATTCGGCCAAGAAACCTAGGTCCAGGATTTCCTGTTAGCCACCTCCAACCATTATCTTATCTCAACATAGTGCACGCAATGTCGAGTCACTTATTCTGGTTGTCACATTTCAACGTAGTCGATAGGATTCGATCTTCACTAAGAAAGGCCTGACATACATGGCATTGATCATCACCCAGTGATCAATCAATTGTATAGATGCTCATGTTAACTGAACAAAAATTTTAATTTAACACGAAAAAATTTATTTTTTGCGAAAACTAACACATATTCTGGGCTAATTGGTTTTTCTCACATGCCTAATTGATTCTTAAGGAGAAATTCCTTTCGATCTTGAAAATGATATCACTATAAAATGGTATCATCTGAAAAAATAGTGAAAACCGGATAACAGTTTTTGGCCTGATTTATGGGCTTTTTATTTTTATATACCCACTACCAAAAACTGGGTGAAAATAAGCATGGTAACATATAAAATATTTCTGCCAAATTATCTACTGTATTAATGGTTGTTTAGTCAATATTTGACAGAAGTTGAGAAAGGTTATATTGAGAAATCATTTTTAGTGGGTTCAGCTCAAACATAGGTAAGTTAATAATTTACTGATATCAGAATGGGTTTTGTGGAGATCAGTAAAATATACTGATAGTTTTGGATGAAAACTGTAAAAGTTTTCAGGCTGAGTGAGTTTTAAACGGTGGAATATTGGGATTATAAGTAATTAGTGTGAGGATATCAAGCATATTATAAAATCTGTATATCATGGGTACGACTGTATGTGGAAATGTAAGTGATTTCTGGTGTGGCGCCCCAGATGTGCCTACAAATTGTTTTTCAGCTCAATTCTGAAAAGACATTTTCCTTCAAAGTCTACACTTTTAGATTACACCTATTTGCAACCCAGTTGACATTATTTACTATTTCTCTCTTATCTAAAAACTATGAATTCAGTAAAAAACTATTTGGCATTTAACTACAAGTTTACATAACTATTGTACTTAATCTTTCAGCTCTACATATTACGCGTGGATACCAGTTCTTACATACTCGTAGCCAACAAAATTCATTTCTGGAATATTAGCAGGTTTTATGTAGAACAATCTTCAGGAATTTTCGTCAAGCAGTAATTGTATACATAACAAGCTTTTATGTGGTATGAATAGATGAATTATGAATTCTTTTCTCTTAGAAATACCCCTCCTCCATATATAGAAATATATAGTATCTTATAAAAGAACCAATGTCGAGTGTATATTTCCCAGTTTATGTTTAACCTGCACAACTGTGATTTTGCAAATTATAGGCTTGTTCAAATGCTTTCCTGAATTATAATACCTTTTACTACCACCATCACACGTAAAAAATTTTGAATCTACTAACCATTTCATCAAATACCATATTTCTGATCAATTCAGTGAATACATCATTCAGAATAACAGCGAAATAACGATATAACGTTATTAAGCCAACTTTCTTTCTGATCATTTGACCGACTGGTAGATTTGTGAATAACTCATTTATAATTTTATTGTTAACATGATATCCATTTATACAACACTATTTATTTAGTTGTATTTTCTTTATTGAATAAACATATTCCACAGCTGAAAAGATAAAAGTCATAATAATAATGGTATACAATGGACTTGAACGACTGAGTCAAATTTTATGTTTCCTTTTTCATGAGGAAACGAAAGTAGATAACACATTTATATTCAGACATAAAAAATTAGACGAGTAGTGAAATTTCAACTGTTTACATAATATCACTTACCAAAGATCAGATTACACTTGTTGCCTAGACAAGCACAAAACAATTCAGTTTTTAACAGAGTAGTGCGAAGACAAAACTAATCTTATATCAGCAAAGGGTTGTGGAGATTGTTAAGTTTTTGATTGAATCGATCAATGTTAGACCATCATAAAAAACCTGGAAGCACTGGACGGCCGTTTATTTCTAGTATGGGACTCTTCAGCAGTGCGCATCCACGGTCCCCCACGCGGGACTCGAACCCAGGGCCTTCGGTCTTCCACTCGAACGCCTAACCTCTAGAACACTAAGCCGGCATCCAACGATGTTAATGTTTAATTTCGATCCCTCCACGATATTGAGCGACTGTTCACCATTGCCATCACCGAGTAACTGCCTCACGACAGACAAGGCTGCACTCCGCTCCGTTGGATGCGCCGGCTCAGTGGTTTAGGAGTTGGGCGTTCGAGAGCCAGACCGAAGGTCCTGGGTTCGAGTCCCACATGGGGGATCATGGATGCGCACTGCTGAAGTGTCCCGTAATAGGACGGAACAGCCGTCCAGTGCCCAAAGTATTTATCCGCCAATTATGTTGTCCCGGAACTTTATCTGAGAATGAACATAGAAAAAAAACCCATTGGATCGACTAAAACACTTCGTAATTCCAGTAATAACAAAGAAGTTTTGAATTTTTGAAACACTCTTTAACAATGAAATGGAATCAAATCTACTAATGTTGTCTCAGGTTAAGGCGAAACTGTTTAATAATAATTAATGAGGAGAACCTAAAATGTTGTATGGCATAGTCTCTGACAGTGTAATGGTTTAGAGGTACTTTTATGACTAGGATTTTTACTACTAAATCAATATGCTTCTTTGAGATCTATACCTGTCATGATCTTTGATCTCATATTATCCTGTAGTTATACAAAACGTATGTCTCTTTATATTCACTTGAAGAGTTCAACACGGTCATTTTATATACTTTACTTATTAAAAAACAAACGTCGTTTATAAACTGGGTTAACCATAGTACTAATTTATATCTAAAGCATTGTACTATTTAAAAATAATTTCAAGATTTATATTGGTTTTGAAATCCGAACTTGTTTTGAGGAAGAATGGAATAACTTATAGGCTATATATTTTCATTCTACAAGGAAATACTATGCATGTTTTCGTGCTTTGTATGTAGAAAGATATATAACACTTAATAGTCGTTTCGTTCTTGTTTTGATCTTCTTGTTATTGGTCAACTATAGCTTTCAAGTGCTGGGGCGATTATCATAGCTTTAGATTAGGTTCATACTTCCATTTAAAATGAATTTTTGATGCACTGAACTTTTATTGTAGCAGTTTTGTGATAAAAATCATTTGCGGAGATTTCAGGCTTTATTTGGAAGTTGTCATGCGTTTGAACTTAAAAACTGTTTTACCACGTTACATAGTTGATTATTCTATTACCATCATTAACACTGTTATGTATATTTATATAATGTTTTCGATAGTTATTTATTCTATTCATTTGCATTATTTGATATCAGACAAAATTAAACAGCAAAGTGTCTTTCCGTCAATAAACTCTTTGTTTAACTAGTAACAAAACCATAAATAGTGATAATTACTGTCCAATTGTTTAGGTAGTAAAACTCAATACTATGTTCTTTGTTTAGTAGTTTGAATTTGGTCGACTCTAATACTATTCATAAAGTTTGAATTTTCCTATGCTCATTTCGTAAAGTTTGGAAATCAGAAATGTGTCCAAAGAGTTTTAATGTATAAAGAAAAACATATTGTATATCTAGTATCACATTGTTATAACTTGTGGCCTTGTGCCGCTAATTAGAAGACGGAGATCTATCGACTGGACAAATGACGTATAAATCGTACTAGCACTCCTAGAGTATTTGTCGATCATTCTTTCTGCCTAGCCTTCCTGCCTCTCAAGTTCAGAACACCAATCTCAACCTCCGCGATATAAATCATATATTACAAACATAATGCGTTTATATGCAAACCAAACAGACCACATCGCATCACAAAATAAAAAACAACATTTGTACAAGATCTAGTCAAACGTGGCTGTGAATATGAGAGACTGTAATTAATAGACTGGGTATAACTCAAGAACGATAAATCGGATAATAATAGTCTATGGATCAAAATAAAGCTTACAATAAGAGGAATATGAATATGCATAGTTTATTTATCTAACAA